TCCCAAGACTTCCACTGACTGACTGTTTACCTCCAATTTTGCATCTCTGCAAATTGGGGGGATATAAAGAGAATTCTCATGAGTTTGTGAACCCCTTCTTTTCCGAGCATGGTTTTAGCAAGTTGAGGCCCGCCTTTAGGACCCAGCAACAGAATCTGTTTATTTGGCTAACACTTTTTCAATTGTATAATTTGGTTATGCTTTCATTCCTTGTCCGTTTGCTGTTAATTTAGTTTTTTCTGTTGTTTATTTGTGGCACTTACTATTTTTTTTAAAATTTCCTTCACTAGTCATTGGGTAGAAGGCAATCTGTAATCTTGCCTCACTCTCACATGTCTATATGGGAGGCACCATCTAATTTTTTTCAAATGGTGTTCACAGGTGAAAATTGCTGAAGAAACCACTCAGTCTTTCACACATCTTATGTGTGAATATCAGTCCTTTAAATGGCTCAGGCCTCTGGGAAGTAGAATGGAAGAAACTAGGTGCAAATGAAAATGGAGGGGTGATAATTTGAGCTGGTTTTCAACTTTAAGCTTGAGAATAGTTATAAAGATATCTGTTCATATATCATAAAGTGTGTATTTTCTACATTTCAATAAAGGCTTCCCTCCTATCCCCTATTCTATCCTCCTTCTGGTGAAGGGTGAGTGAACATAAATACTGTTTTTTTTTTTTTTTTAAATGGGGAAATGTGGCCTGCAACCTTGATATTATTTTCTTTTCTTTTTTTCTAAGCTTTTTTTTTTCCTTTTCACATCACAGCCTCTTATGCAAATACTCAGGGAATAGATAATGTTCAAGCATTCTTTATTCCTCATATATCTCACAATAACAGGAACATTCACATAACCAACTCAAAATAAAAACGTGTAATAAACTTCATTCCCCTGGGAATCTGAGGGAAAATGTGGAACAAATAACTACATGTTTACCATCTTAAAGGGTGTTCTTCAGTTACACCCAAATTGATTCTAACACCTATGAGGCAAGTGCTGACTACAGAGCTAAAAACAGGGCTAGAAACTGTGACTGAGTGATGGTGTGGAGGGGGAAGTGTCTGTTGAGTGTTGGGTGAGGAGGAGGAGGAAAGCTGGGCCAATGGCTTTCACAGCAAAGGTTTTAAAACAGCTGAGCAGGAAGCACACGCTTTATAGTTAGCCCGCTATGGGGCAGATGAGGTGGTTCTAGTCTTCTGCCCTATGTGACTCCTTGATGGAGTGTGTTAATCCGCTTTGCGTTGCTGTTGTGACAGTACTTGACAAGAATGACTTAGAGGAGGGAAAGTTTATATTGGCTCATGGTTTCAGAGATTCAGTCCATGGTCATCCAAGTCCATTGCTCTGGGCCCAAGATAAAGCATCAAGGCCGAAGGGCATAGTGGGGCAGCTAGGAATAGTCAGAGAGCAGTCCACATCTACCTCCTGCAGTTAGTCCATTTAAACTAGGATGGACTTGTTGGGTTCCAGCTCTCACAATCCAATCACTTTATCTCAGAATATTCCTGCATTAACATGGGAGCTTGTGGGGGAAGACTCATATCCAAACCATAACATAGATGGACCTGAAAAACTCAGTATTGAGTTGGAGGACTAATAACTTCCAAAATATTTCTTAATTAGTCAACTTATTGCAGGGACAATGTGGGGTACATAATAAAATGTCTACACACCTGCCCAACTTAATAATATATACCACACGTTTAAAATGTCATTTCAGCTAGCCTGGATTTCTGGACTCAGTCAGATTCTATTCCAGTGGGTGAGTAGGTGTTACCCATCTTTCAAAGATAATCACTCACTTTTGAGGGGATGGGATGTTGGAAGATGGATTTGGGTGTGCCTCCTTGTTGTGAGCTCCTTGAGCTCATTTAGGATTGGAGGAGTCTTCTGGGAAAAGGCTCACACTTCTTTCTACTTCACTGAGTATCAAACATATAAATCATGCCTAGCAGGGAGAGGATGAATGTGCAGTGAGGGTACAAGAAGAGAACACAAAGAGGTCTTCGAGTAGGAACCCACCAAAAGGGAGGGACTCCAAAAAGACAAAGCTCATACTCAGAAGGAAGGGTTAACTCCTCTGGAAACTCTGAACTGTTCCTGGTCTTACAGCTTTTGCCATTTACTGACACAGGGAAGTAATCTGGAGGGGCGTACAAGTGGGAACTTAGTCAAGGGTTCCTACTCTCCTATATTTTAGGACTCAGTTCCATCTTTACCAGACCCATGAAGGCTGTGGACTCTGCAGTGGAGCTGCTTAGTCATCATGTTGCACACCCTAGAAATGTAGAGGCGGTGGAACCATAGGATTAATTTGGACCAACAAGAGAGACAAAGAGAGAGAGAAAAAAAACTCTTTCAAAGAGTTTGCAGGCAATTTTTTCTTCTACTCCTAAGTCATAATGACTCCAAATAGACTCTCTGTACAGTACTGATGTGTAAGCTAGGTTTTGAAGCTGTAACCAGTTGTATAACATGCCACCTTGTATTCTATTTCCTCCTGTCCTTTCTTACTTCCCTTTGTCCTCATTCCTACTTCCTTGCATTTACAGCCCTCAGTGAGGCACAAGAATGTAAGTCAAGTTGTTTCCTACAGGACCTGGCTAACACAGAATGTCAAAAAGTTTGTCTTGGTGGAAGTTTGCAGTGAAGGTAGGGACATGGAAAAACTGATGCATTCAGCATGGCTTATTGGTAATAAATGAGAGCAGCAGATCTGGGCTCGGATCTATCATGAAGATGAGTCAATGAATTTGGAGGGTAAGGGTGGAGAGTGGTCATAAAATTTTGCCTTCGGGAAATATAGTTCCTGTTCTATAGCAGGTGGCAACTGTTGGATAACCTAGAGGACTTTTTCATGTACATAGATGCCTGTATTCTAGAGAATGCAGAAATATCTTAGGTGAAGCTCTCAAATATTTAAGGGGCGAAATTATTCACAGTACCAAGCCTTTTTAGAAACAAATGATAATAAGAAGTAACCAATCCATCATTGCACAAGGAGAGAAACAGAGCAAGAGGCCTCTGTGTCCATCAGTGACTCTCTTGTGAGAAACTTGGAAGTCTGTGCTTTATTGTATAAGAAGGGTAGAGTTTTTCTTGAAGGTGCAAATCATATTACCTAATTCTTACCACAGTACAGGGGAGCAGACATTACTCATATCCCCACATTACAGATTAGTAATGGGAAGCTAAGTGAGATTGATATTTTGTCCAAGGTTATAGAATGATTCAGTATTTGAACTACCTTGTTCAAAATAGCAGTTATTTTTCAAGGCAACTGAGAAGGAGGATGTGAACTTCACTATAGATTTGAAACAGTTTAAGCAGGTTAGTAGCTCCACTTCAGGCAATGAATCAAGACAAAAGGGAAATGATTTGAAGATTGAGAGAACTAGAACCTATTTAAAGTTGTGCCAGGTAAGGTAATCTGTGTTTGGATCAGGGACCTATAATTTATGTTGATTCACATACATCTTCTTCAGATATGCATAAATTGGGGGAGTGTGTGGAGTGGATGTGGAACTAAACGTATTTGTATGTATTCAACACACTGTATAATTGACTCAATTATCCATGTGGGGATTATTCACTTTTAATTTGCAATCTGGCTTCTCCTTTCAGTTAAGATGTTTTTGGGCTGCTCCAGGAATGCCAACTAATTTAAATAATAATTTAAGCAAAACATAATTAGTGAGGAAAATTAAATTCAATCTCTTGCCAGTTCTGGAAGATTCTACTGTTGAAATGCAACTCTAATCCATCCACTGTCTTTTCATTCTCCAATGCCTTTTTAGTACCAGCAGATTTTATTGCTTTCCATAGATTACTGCAATAGTTTCCTATGTAATTTTCTTGCTTACCTCTTTCCAGTCCAGAAACTTAAAAAAAAAAAAAAAAGGGTGTGGGGGGAACACCAAACTCAGTTCTCTTCCCAAAATTTCTTTACTTGAAAACATTTCATGCATAGGGAAAAAAAATTGAAAAAAAAATTAATGGCTGCCCATTTCTCTCCAGATTAAGTGCAAATGCCAAAACCTGTCATTCAAGCTTTTCTAGTCTTAATTCCTGCCTGTTTTTCAAACTCCATTGAACTGTCCATCTACTTCTTAGCCTTTGTACTGAAAAACCCTCCTCATCTCTGCAGGATTACTGCATTTGCCACCTGCTCAGGAGGCTTTCTTGCTTCCACCTCTGAATTCCATTAATGCTCTCCTTGTTTTTCTCTAAGGCATTTGAAAGTATTTGTGAAAATGCTATTCTCTTGGAAGATAATTCATGGCACTGTTTGCAGTGATTCATCTTCTCTACTAGGCTGTGGTGGACTCAAAAGAGAGACCCGAATTCTTGTTCATTTCAAAAACTGGCAAAACTCCAGGACAGGAATTTTGGTATTTTACATCCCCAGTGCCTAGCTTAGTACTTGACATATAGTAGGTACTCAGTGAATTGCAGGTACACACTTCCAAGCTGGGTTATGGAGCCTCGCGGAGCTCAGGGATGCTGATACAGGAGTAGCGGATTGCTCAGTGCCAAGGCTGGAGCTGGCTGCACTAACTCTTTTGAGGAACGATGCTGGGCAAAGGAGGCACACTCCAGGGCTGGGTAGGGATGTGGCAGCTCCTTTGGCAGCCGCCGCAGCGTCTTAAACTTGCGATATTGAAAAAATAATGCTACATATGTGTGTGTGTGGGCACACACACATTACTATATTACATCTAAAGACACAAAAATACAAAAATGCACATATGTACACCTCCAGCCAGGTATGCATTTAAGTATAAATAAACATACAGGTAGAATCTTAACTCCAATACGATTAGAGAATTACAGGGAGGATGACAGTGATGATCCCTCGCTCTTCCAGGAAGGCAAGACAGGTCTCTTTGGGCCTCCAGCCTCAGGAGTCCTAGGAAGCAGGCAACTGCCGGGCAGCTTGGGCCTTCCGGGTTTCCGTCATCCGCTGTCCTGATTGGTCGGGCTAAGCGCAGCTGACAGGGGGCGGGGACTAGGAAGCAGCGAGGATGGCGGCGTCCGCAGCGCTGATCCTGCCAGAGAGTCCCAGGTACTGTCCCGCTGGTCACTTGCGGTAGCCGCCCGAGGATGTCCCTGCTGCCTGCTGTCCTGGCGCTGTGGCGGGGCCCGGGTCGGGAGGAGTGGGCGCGGGACTGAGGAGTGGGAGCGGGACTGCCGACGTTGCATCATGGGCCACGCAGGTCCGCGGAGTGCGTGGGACCGCTTGGTGCTCCACCTTTACGGTGGTTCGTCTGTGGCTGACAGTGCGCCTGGCAGCCGTGGTCTGTAGGAAAGTGCATGGTTGTTGTCACTTCTCAGAGTGCTGTCAGAAGTTCCCAGGCGCTACCTTGAGTAGTGACGAATCACGTGGAAAAGTATTCTATTTCCGTTTTCAAGTTTCAGACCTGATGATGATGATGAGAAAGGCTCTGGCTGGTGCTGGAGGGTGTGTAATACTTAACGTGTGTCGGTATTGAATAAATCTCGGATCAGGGTTTTTGGCTGGTCATATAATCTGGCTAGATTTTGGTAACACTTTGGTTTCCATTTTACTTATTTATTTATTTTTAAAGCAAATTTCTCTGTGTGGTAGGTAAGGTTGGCTGCCCATGGTAGTGATACAAAGTTCCCTTTATTTATTGTTATTTTTGATTTTTGTTTTGAAACCAAGTCTTGATATGTGGCCTGGCTGATCTTGAACTCCAGGGCTCAAGTGATCCTCCTGCCTCAGCTTCCCCAGTAGCGGAGAGTATAGGTGTGCACTGTCACACCTGGTCCAAAGTTCTCTTTTAAAATAACACCATTTAAGTAAAAATGATTCAATTTATTGAAATGTGTTGTGTGGCTACAGAAGAATCACTGAAGTATATAGGCAAATAATCGAAGTTGGAAAATAACATTCGTTCCTGGGTTGGACAGAAATCTTCTCAAGAAGAGAGTTGTCATTTTTAAGTTTTTCCTTCATCCTGGACTCCTTTGTTTCTGACATCCAATTTCTTTCCTCAAATCAGTGGAACCCACACTACCTCAGTAAACCATATTCAATTTGGTACGGAATTGTTCTTATTATATTGTTTGAATTTGACTATTACAAATGAAACAAGGTTTTAAAGCAACCATCTTCTTAGTAATAACATTTTTTTTTTGTATGCAGTGTCCACCTCCCCCATTACTTGCTATTCAGCATTATGTTTTTAGTGTAATTTTCTAAATTACTGTAACCCCTATCTCACTCTTTTATTAGTTCCATTCTGGATTAAGTGGTTACATGAACATCTATGGAGTAGTGCGCCCCTTGTAGTTTGCTTTGCCTACAATAAGAGAAAATTTTCCAAGTGCACCTTTTCAACAGAATACTGTTGGGGGGCATCTTTTTGGAAATGTTCAGATTGCCTTACTCTGGTTACCATTTTCTTTACCTGACTTAACTCAGACTTTCCATATAGCAATCAGAATTTTTGAAATTAAAACTTGTAGACAATGATAGCAAGTATATTTTAAAACTTGTTTTAAAACTTTCTTTTATTAATTTATTTAGCATGAAAAAAGCGGTGTCACTGATAAATGCAATAGATGTAGGAAGATTTCCACGATTGCTTACTCGAATTCTTCAAAAACTTCACCTGAAGGTTTGTATTTTTGTGTTTCTATATCATGTAAAAATTTCTTCTGATGCCACTGAAACTCTTGTCATTTGTAGAATTTGTGTGTGTGTGTGTGTGTGTGTGTGTGTGAGAGAGAGAGAGAGAGAGAGAGAGAGAGAGAGAAATACAGTGTTTTCCAGTGTGTTCTCAGGAATACTTAATTTGTTGCAGATTTTATAGTGTTCCATGGTCCAAAATCTGGAAAACTCTGTATTCCATAAAGTTAAATTTTTAAAATTATGGAACTTTTCATATCTAATATAATTGTGTTTATGGTAAACACTAAAGGTGAATATGGCATATAACATTTTCCAAATGTGTTTGACTTTGGAAATGTTTTATTGTAGTATGTATTTGGGAAGTAATGTTCTGTGGAACATGCTTTGGGGAAATTCTGATTCATTTTTCCTTTTAATAATTCTGTGGTATTTGCTTTAAACTAGCATTTAATCTTTCATCTAATTTTATTCTCTTATTCTTTTATTTCAATGGTGTGGTTGTTTTGGATGTGTGGGTGTTTGATAATTCATTACTTGGTTGCCAGTCCAACCTAATTTCTTTGTTAGGTTATAAAAATTTGATTTCATCAAACCCATGTTTGTGGAGCACCCAGTAACTGCTCTGCCTTGTACCAGGCATCAACAGCCAATGACAACCAGAACTCTTATTCTTTCTTCTTCTTTTTCTTGGCCAGGAAGTAGTCCCAGAGCCATACCCTACTCCTTATGTTGTATTTGTCAAATCTGAGTTGTCCTTATAGTGCTAGTTCAGATTCTTATCTTTTCCTTGGAATACAATAATTACATTCACATTAGTATCTATGCGTGTAGTCTTCTTACTTCCTATTGTTTCTTCATAATATAATTTTAATTATCTTTCTAAATGTTTTTCTCTCAAAAAAAAAAAAAAAAGATTGATCAGCCAGGTGCATACATGTTATCCCAGTGACTCAGGCTGAAGCAGGAGGACTGCAAATTTGAGGCCGGCCTGGATAATTTAGCAAAATCCTTAGGGTTTTAGGGGGAACTTGTCTCAAAAGTAAAAATAAAAAGGACTGGGATGTAGCTTAGTGGTAAAGCACCTCTGGGTTCAATCCCCAGTATTAGGGTAAAAACTAAAACCAACCAACCAAACAAACAAAAAACCCCTCCAACCAGTTTTTTACAGTGTTCAGAACCATCAGTGACTACCAGTTGCTAAGTGGAGAAAAGTTCAAAATCCTTAACATTGTGTCTATAATCCATTATAATATAGTTACAGCCTATGGTCTCCCTGCTTTGCAAGTGTTTCAGTAAGACTGTACAATGCTCTTTTACTGCAGCGTGCCATAAAGTTTTCAGTTGTATGCGTGTACTCTTTGGTTTGTTTGCCTTCAGATGTCTAAATGAGAAAACTACTCATGTTGCAAATATTTTGCAATCTCACTCTCACAGTTTTATATTCTCTTTTTGGTGCTTCTAAAACTTGCTTCATTTTCATTACACTTTAGTACTATATAATAAGTATTTGTTTTATGATCAGAAGGCAATCAAATCTCTATACCTCTTCACCAATCTACCCACCCCTGCTTTAAATATCTTGAGGGTCATGTTTTACTCATTTTATATCTCTCATACCTAATACATTGCTACTTACACAGCACTCAATACTGGTTCTAGAGTTAGTTCTTTTCTTTTCCATGGGAAACAAATACAAATGGAGGTCCTTTAAGTTCCTGCCTGTAAGGAATTTGTGATGTAGATGGAAGACTAAGAACAATAATAGCAGTAATATTCTGTGTTATCTGCTCTTCACAAATAGTTACATTGTTCTCTATGTGACTGGTACTCTTCTAATGGATTGGTATTATTAATTCATCTAATCCTGACAGCAATTTGAAGTGGATACTATTGTCAGCCTCCTTTTATCCACAAGGAAACTGAAATAGAAACCAGTTAAATAACTTGCCTAAAGTCGTACAACTAGATAGTAATTTAGTCTGGCTCCAAGATTCCATTCCTTTAACCCATTACACTAAACCTCAGGAAGGAGTATAAGACATTATGTAAATCAGCTCCAAAGTGAATGATGCAGGCAATAGATACAGAAGTTTTATTTTTCTTCCTGAGTCAGTGGTTGCATTCTTAATTGTGTAAAACAATATGGGGGAAAAAAAAACTTATATACAACTTTCATTCTTGATACTGGGAAGGATGGAGCATTTGCATGGAAAATTTGATGCGTAGTTTGTCTTTGATCTTCTCAGTTACCTCTGGAGTTGAGAATAAGTTATTAGGTGTCTAGAGGTAACCATGTAGCTGGATCATTCAATTCTGAATATTGTGTCATCAGAGACAGTGGGATTTGGGTGAGATGTGCTTGTTGAGAAATGAAATAACTGAGGACAGAGCATGTATGTGAAATCTTGCCTGATAAGAGAATGTCAGTAACAATTTCAGTTTTTATTTTGTTTTTTTTTTTTCCCCAGGCATTTTCAGGAGATGATCTTACAGAGAGGTTCCTGTTGTGATAACAGCTCATAGAGTTTTCAGTGTATTTCAGGATCGGCCACCTTTCTTTTATGTACATTAGTTCTATCAAGTTGGTGTTTGCCTTGAAAGAAGCACAACCCTTAGAATAGTGGAACTTGAGGCAGGTGGATGGGTGAAGAGGTTTAGGGAATTGATTGCTACTCTAAATATCATCAACTTGATACTTTGGTTTTACCAAGTTTTTTTTTTTTTTTTCTGTTTATGGTGGAGTATGCCAGTCTTTATCCAGGTTGCTTCCTTGAATTCCTTAGTAGGGATTAACTTGAAGAAACTAAGACAGCTTAGATTTAGAATATGGGCATGCATACCTGACCATGGACCTGGGAGTCAGTTTTCTTTGAACTGGTTATCTTCCTAGCCCATCCTAATATGTATATTGTGTGTGTGTGTGTGTGTGTGTGTGTGTGTGTGTATTTGGGGTATTTGTTTTGGTTTGTTAAAATATGCAAAGGTTGCTGCTGGCATTTAATGTACAGGGATTTTTAAATATCTTGTAATGTTTCATCTGGCATCTCAACAGTTTGTACTTGGAAATACTGAGGGAAGTTAAGACAAACTTCCCTAGCTGAGAATGTAAATATAAACATTTATGGCCTCTGAGCTCAGGAATGGCTGTTAAAACTCATGTAATAAACCAAAAACATATATATGTGGCTCCACAGAACAGATTTTAGGCCTTCACATAAACCCTATTGATATAACTGTGCTGTATGTCTAGTTCTGAGAATCAGCTATCTGGGTTCCTAACCTGGGAGAGCGGAACCAGCAAACCAGAGGACGAAGGTGCTACTATATAATGGGTCACGTAGGCAGTTTCAAGCAATGACTACTAATCGTGAAATGAAATTGAAGAATTTTGAAAACCAGGTATAAGAAATATGAGAGCAATAGGGAAGAGAGTACAATGAATCAGACATAACTTTCCTATGTTCATGTATAAGACCAGTGTAACTCCATATCACGTACAACCTCAAAGAATGGGAAGTTATACTCTGTGTATGTGTGATATGTCAAAATACCCTCTGCAATCATGCATATATAAAAAGAAGAAATAAAAAATTAAGTAAAAAAATGTAAAAACACAGGAGTCTGAGATTTTTTTAAGAATTGGACTTAAAAATCATCAGCACTTCTTAAAGCTACTGTAACCAGGGTATCATTGCTCATAATTATGAATTGAGTCATCACAAGAAGTAAGTTTTATCCAGTTTATTTTGCTTGTAGTAGTGTAGAATGGAGGTTACACCTTTTAGAAAGTTATATCATTTTCCTTTCACCCTGGATTCACTTTTTCTTTAAAGTTCTCATTCATATATGAATTACTGAGTCAAGTATGAGATTTGAATACATAAATATGTGCTAAGAGATTGCTATTTGTATTTGTAGGCTGAGAGCAGTTTCAGTGAAGAAGAGGAAGAAAAACTTCAAGCTGCATTTTCTCTAGAGAAACAAGATCTCCACCTTGTCCTTGAAACAATATCATTTATTTTAGAACAGGTATTTTTATTACCTCAAATTTCCTTACTATGATTTGTTTACTACATTATTAGTATTGCTGTGATATCTATGACATTCCAGTTTTTTTCAAAGTGTGCAAGATGGAAACTGTGAATACATTTTTTTTATTTTATTTTTTGCTGTGAACACATTTTAATCAAGAATTTCAATATAGTAAAAAATATTTGAATGCATTATTTTTTTCAACAGTGTTTCATTCTACAAAGCAACAGCGCTGAATAGCAGTAGAGATTTATTGATGTGAATCAAGACTTTCTTGATTTCAGACAGCTATAAAAGATTTGAATTCATTGTTACTTGGTGTTGTACTTTGGAAAAATGGAACACATTTAAGAAATTAGATAAATGATTTGGGGGGATATATTTGACTAGGATGATAAACAAACATTTTAGAAAAGAAGTGTTATCATAGTAATTTTTTTCCTATTGAGCTTCCCTTTTGCATTACTTCTTCTCAAATTAGCCTTGAGCTCTCATACCTGAAGTCTTCCCTTATTTGTATTTCTTTTAACCTTGGCTCATCACAGTAGGTCACATGGTTAGTCTTTCTTTATTTCACATATGTCAGTTATGTCACTCACAGGATTTTGAATTTATCCGGGGTAGGGATGATATGTTTTGTATAAGCCCAGCACTTCACTGGGCTTAAAATAGATTCTCAAGAAATTTCTCTTCATTGATTAAACAGACTATTTGTAAAATAAAAGATTAAGTAGTACTTCATGAACATTCTAGTGAACAAATTCTATTAGGAGGACAAATTTTCAGGCATCTATTACAGATTTATATAATTACAGGTCATAAAGATGACTGTGATTCTTATTGATGGTGAGCTTCAACAGAAGAAAAGAATAATTGAATAGGATAGTGCAAAATGGTATTTATGGGAAATTTATTCTGTTCCAGAATAAGGTAAAAAACAGAACAAGTAATCACTGTTAAAAATTTTTACAGTTCTTAAAATTCTGTATTACCTAGGAAATAGAAGGATGAAGATAGTTTTGAAAACTATTTCTTGAAAAACATTTGTTAGTTGAGAAACAAAATCATTGTAAACTTTGAATAGTTAAGTGAAATAAATAAGATGAAATTTTAACTGAGGTACAATTAACATAGCCAGAGCAAAGAAGTTTTTTTGGTTATTAAGTACATGTAGTATTGTTTAAATGGGCAGAATTGAAAATCATTAGCCCACATAATTTAGCTTTTTAATCCTGAATCTTTTATGCATTGATAGTATATGATATTGTTTATAAAACAATCCAAAATGTCTGCAATAAGAATGTGAAATGTTGTTTGATTTAAATCCCTTAAAAGTAATTTTGTATTGATTACAGCTCAAAGTCTCTGTAAGAATAGAAGGATATATGTAATTTTTTTTCCTTTTTAATAGGCAGTATATCACAACGTGAAGCCAGCAGCTTTGCAGCAGCAATTAGAGAGCATTCATCTTAGACAAGACAAAGCAGAAGCATTCATCAATGCTTGGTCTTCCATGGGTCAAGAAACAGTTGAAAAGTTCAGGCAGAGGATTCTGGCTCCCCACAAGGTATAGGATATACTATCTGAAAGACATTTTTAATAATGGACAAAATAAATTATTATACTTAAGAGGATTTAAAGAGATTCTATTTTGTTGAGAGGTAGAGTCAAGCAAATGAAAATAAATACATAGTACTCTTATAAAATTATTTCTATATGTTAGCATATTTGCTACCACAGTATGATTTAATTTTAACTTATAGTTTAGAATATGCCTCTATAACTTTAGGAATGAGATAGTTTTCTTTCCTTAAGTCCATAAGCAGAGTTGTAATTCCTTTATCTGTGTCTCTTTGCATGAACCTTATTTTAATTTTTACTGAATCATGTATGTAATTGTTTTTGTGTATCTACATTAGTGCTAGCAGAATTGCTTATGTGCTGTAGGTACTCAATTAGTATTTGTGAACTTGTGTAGCTAACAGTGAAGAAAATGAATGCTTTGAAAAAAAATATAAAATAACCAAAGTATCATAAAGCTCTTATGATACCTTTTAAAACCTTCAGTTTACTTTTGATGGAGTTTGAGATGATCATACAGATTTTTCCCCATTTTCTGTTAACATGTTGTGTTATATTAATTAATTTTCAGGTGTTCAACCAACTTTGTATTCCTGGAATAAATCTTACCTGGTTATAGTGTATTAATTTTTTCATATATTGCTAGAAATTTGATTTGCTGATTTTTTTTTCTTTTTTGTGTACTGGGGTTAGTCCCAGGGGTACTTTACCTCTAAGCTACATCCTCAGACCTTTTATTAATATATATTTTTATTTTGAGACAGGGTTTTGCTAAATTGCCCAGGCTGACCTTGAACTTGGGATAATCATGTCTCAGCCTCCTGAGTTGCTAGGATTATAGATGTATAACACTGCCCAGCCTGATATTTTGTTACAGATTTTTTTTTCATCTATGTTTGTGAGGGATATTGATTTGTAGTTTTCTTATGATGTCTTTGGCTTTGTTATCAGGATAACAAAATGAATTGGGAAGTGTTTTTCCTCCTCTATTTTCTGTAAGAATTTATAAAGGATTACTATTACTTTGCATTTCTGTCAGCAATATATAAGAGTTAACAATAGTTCCAAATTCTTGTGAGCACTTGGTACTATCAATTACTTTTTGTTTAATATTATTTGTTAGTTGTCATGGACCTTTATTTATTTTTTATTTATTTATATGTGGTGCTGAGAATCAAACCCAGTGCCTCACACATGCTAGGCAAGCACTCTACCACTGAGCCACAACCCCAACCCCCTGTCAGTTAACTTTTAATAGAACCATTCTGTTAGGTTTGTGGTGGTGTCTTGTGTTTTTAATTTGCATTTACCTAATAAAGTATGTTGATAATTTTTTTATGTACTCGCTTGCCATGCATGTATCTTCTGTGGTGAGTATCTGTTCAGATCTTTTGCCTAACTGTATGTCTGTATGTTTAAATTATGACTGATAGAGAAGTCTAATTATGTAATATAATATAAAGAAAAGTCACAGATACAAATCTTAGCATATAGAATTGGAGTTTTTTTTTTTTTTTTCTTTTTTGGTTACAATGTGTGGAGGAGGAAGGTGTTTGTTTTCTTTTTTTCAGTTGGTGTTAGGGTTATTTTTATTTTCTAGATATAAGTTCTTTTTTAGATATGTGATTTTACAATATTTTCTGCCAGTCTATACTTTTATTCTTTTCTCTTAACAGTGTTTTTTATAGAGCAAAAGCTCTTAATTTTGATAAAGTCCAGTCATTAAATTATTTTCTTTCTTGATCTTACTTTCTGTTTTGTATCTTAAGAATTTGGCACATGATTCAATGTAATGGAAATTTTCTCTTTTATTTCCTTCTAAATGTTTTATACATTTATGTTTTACATTTAAGCCTACATTTGGTTTTGAGTTCATTTTGTGTTTAAGTGCAGGTTGAAGTTCATATTTTCTGTGTATGGATGCTCCTTGTTTCCAGCATTATTTGTTGATAACATCAACTTTTTGTCACTGAATTGCCTTGCCCCTTGTCAAAAATCCTTTTCACATAGATATGTGTGTCTTTTTTCTGGATTTTTTTATTTGATTACATTGATTTGTCTATCTTTATGCCAATATCCCCCATTTAATTTCTATAGCTTTATACTAGGTCTTGATATCAGATAGCATGATTCTGCTTACTTTATTCTTTTTTTTCATAATTATTTTGAGTATTCTAGTTTCTTCACCTTTCCATGTACATTTAGAAGTCAGCTTTCCTGTATCTACAAAGAAAAAATCCTTCAGGGATTTTGATTGGGATTGGGTTTAATTTATAAATGAAGTTGTAGAGAAATAACATTGAGTATATCTTTTCGTTTATTTAAATCTTCTTTGATTTCTTTTGTCTGTATTTTTTCACAGATTATGCATGTATTTTATTAGCTTTGTAGCTAAGTATTTCATTCTTTTTTGAGCTGTTGTAAATGATGCTGTTATAAAAATGTTGGTTTCCAATTGTTTATTGTTTATTGCTACCATATTGAAATACAATTGATTTTTCTTTATTGACTTTTTATTCTAGGATCTTGGTAAATTCACTAATTAGTAATAGGAGCTTTTTTTTTTTTTTTTTTTGTAGATTCCTTGCGATTGTTTTATGTAGATAGTTACAACATCTGGGAATACAGATAGTTTCATTTTTTTTCTTTCCATTCTGTACAACTTTTCTTCATTTTTCCTGCCTTATTTTACTGACTAGAACTTTGAGTATGATGCTGAACAGGAGTGTTAAGTCTGAGCATTATTTGCTTATTCATAATTTTGGGAAGAAAGCATTCAGCCTGTCATCATTAAGATGTTACCTATAGGTTTTTAGAAAATTCCCTTTATTGTTTTCATCTCTCCTTTTAATTCTGGATTCTTCTGACTGCTCTGTCCTTTACTGCCTCATTTTTCATAATTTGAATTTATTTTTCCTATATCCAACATAGATTTTTAGTTTTCCATCTTGTTTCCCTGCAATTATTTCTTCTTTATTTTCCTTTTGTTTTATAGATTTCACTATTTCTGGCATCTTAGTAATCAAACTACATAGTTTGTGGGTTTTTCTTTTTTGATACTTCCAATGATAAGATGTTTTTCAGAGTCTCTGGCTGATGTTTTTATTTTATTTTATTTTTGGTATCAGAGATTGAACCCAGGAGCACATAACCACTGAGCCACATCTCAGTCCTTTTTATAGTTTATTTTGAGACAGGTTCTTGCTAAGTTACTTAGGGTCTTGCTAAGTTGCTAAGGCTGGCTTTGAACTCTTTTTAAAATTTATTTTAAGTTTTAAAAATTTGTTCTTTTTTATATATATATGTGACAGTAGAGTGTATTTTGACATATTATACATACATGGAGTATAACTTATTCTAAGACATATCACACTTAATTTTTTTTTTTTTTTTGCAATGCTGGGGCTTGAACCCAGGGCCTCACACATATGAGGCAATGATCTCAGCTACATAATTCCTAGCCCCTGGCTTTGAACTCTTGATCCTCCTGCCTCAGTCTCTGAAGTCATGAGGATTATAGGTGTGTGCTGCTACGCCTGGCTGATAGTGTTTTTCAAAAATAATATTTTTACTTTGTAAGTTTTATAACTTTAGCTTCTGTTTAAGAAATTATTTAATCAGTTGTCATAAACAAAAACAGAAGATAGGCAGACTTGCTTAATTGTATATTAGCTCATTGAGAATGCTGGAAACTATGTTTAGCAAATTCCCGCTGTGACCAAAAGATGTGATAGGAATAATTTTGGAGGAGGAAGAGTTTATCTGACCCTCAAGCTTTCACAGGTCTTGGTCCATAGACAGCCTGCGCCATTCCTCAGGGCTTGAGGTGAGGTAGAGCATCATGGCCGACGAGTGTTGCTGTGGGAAGCAGCTCAAGACGTCACACCAGGAGGCAGAGAGAGACTTCTGTCACCAAGGACAAAATATAAACTCCAAAGGCACCCTCCAACTCATCTCCTTCTTCCACACCCTACCTGCTTACAGTTACCACCCAATTAATCCCTATGAGGGGATTAATGCACTGATTAGGTTGATTTCACCTCTAAACTTGCTTGCATTGTTTCTCTCATGAGCTTTTGGGGGATACCTAATATCTAAATCATAACAGACAGCAAATACATTTTAAATATCTTAAATACTTAATGTAATTATAACAAACATTTATTGTATTTATGATGGACCAAATATTATGCTAAGTACTTTATATCTTATAAAACTCGTCAGTAGTTCTGTTATATATTTTATAACTCAGCAAGTTATCCAAGGTCATGGACCTAAGTAAGTGACAGAACTGGGATGGGACATTATGCCATACCACCACATACAGGTTAGCTACAAATTGTCTGTGTCATGCATTATGCAGAGTGATTTGTACAGTTTGTGTGTGTGTGTGTGTGTTAATGTATGTATTTGTGTGTATGCTTCTGAGTTTTGAAAAGGATATAAAACTTTAGAAAATGTAAATAACTTTATCTTTTCAGCCCTGTTTCTTTTAAAACATGCTACCTCTCACAGCTATAATGCTATTTAGGATATGGTGGTTAAAATAGCCATGTCTGAAATAGATCATGTCATTTAAATTGTTTAAAAAATGACAAAATGACAGACTTATAGAATGAATAAAAGGTGTATACACAATGACTAATTTTTTATGGTAATTTAGGGACTGATCTATGTGTACTGTCTATATGATACTTATCATTTTAGTTCAAAGTAAATAAGATTTAAGATTCATTTAAATAGTTAAAATATCAAAAGTTATTAATTCAGTTTTTTTTGTTTTGTTTTGTTTTGTTTTTTGGTGTCAGTAATTGAACCCAGGGCACTTAACTGCTAAGTACATGCCCAGGCCTTCTGGTTTTTTTTTTAATTTTTATTTTGAGACAGGGTGTCTTTATGTTGCTTAGGACCTTGCTAAATATTGCTGAGGCTGTCTTTGAATTTGTGATCCTCCTGCCTTAGCCTCCATTTCAGGTGTGGAGCATC